AGGCGGTGGCTCATGCTCTCCTTCTCCGCCCCTCAGGAGGACAGTTTTGGGTGTGTTCTGCCAGCCCTGCAGAGGGTCCCAGTGAATTCAGTCCTGTTGCCCCGTAGTGGCCAGTGAAATAACTCCCTTTTCTTGTGAGACAGGGTCTTGGTCTGTCACCACACTGGAGTGCGCTGGCATAATCATGGCTCACTACAGCCTCCACTTCCTGTGCTCAAGTGTTCCTTTCACTTCAGCCTCCCGAGTGGCTAGGACTACAGGCGTGCACCACCACACCAGGCTAATTTTTAATTTTTAAATTTTTTTGCAGAGGTGGGTTCTCACCATGATGTCCAGGCTGCTAACTCACCTTTATTTATTTATTTAGAGACAGAGTCTGGCTCTGTCACCCAGGCTGCAGTGCAGTGGTGCGATCTCAGCTCACTGCAACCTCTGCCTCCTGGGTTCAAGTGATTCTCCTGCCTCAGCCTCCTGAGTAGCTGGGATTACAGGTGTGCACCTCCATGCCTGGCTAAGTTTTGTATTTTTAATAGAGGCAAGGTTTCACTATGTTGGTCAGGCTGGTCTCGAACTCCTGACCTCAGGTGATCTGCCTGCCTTGGCCTCCCAAAGTGCTGGGATTACAGGCGTGAGCCTCCGTGCCTGGCCTAGAACCCTCGCCTCTCTTTGCAGCTGTGGTCCGGGTATGTAACCTAATCCTGGCCTGAGGACGGAGGACCACCTCCTGAGACAGACGATCGTCCCTGATAAAAGGAAACACATAGGTGACATTCTCCTCCCTGCCAGTGGAGTTCTGTGGGAATGTGACGCTTGGACAGTGACAGCCATCGTGCCGTCATGAGGGGTAAGTCTGAGGGTGACAGTCCACATCCTGAGGTGGCAGCGTGGACAGATCGAAAATCCCACGTCTGCTGAGCCACTGAATTTGCCTGGAGCTGCCTCCCTCGAGTGGGCATCTCCCTGGCAGACCCTTTCCCTCTGAGGCACACAGAGGCCAGTCCGGAGCTCCCCAGAGTTCCTTCCATGCTGACATCCTGGGACCCAGGGATGCTGTGATCAGAGTGAGGCAAGCAGGGTGCTTGCTTCTGGGGCAAAACTGAAAGGGGTGGCAACAAGCAAACAGAAAAGCCTTCGGTGATCAAGATAATTTTGTTTTTGAGACGGAGTCCTGCTCTGTCACCAGCCTGGAGTGAAGTGCTGCAATCTGGGCTCACTGCAACCTCTGCCTCCGGGTTCAAGTGATTCTCCTGCCTCAGCCTCTCAAGACTACAGGCATGCGCCACCACGCCCAGCTAATTTTTGTATTTTTAGTAGAGGCGGGGCTTTGCCATGTTGTCCAGGCTGGTCTTGATCTCTTGACCTTGTGATCTGCCCGCCTTGGTCTCTCAAAGTGCTGGGATTACTGGCCATTGCCTCTGGCCTAATCTGATATTTTAAAAATATCAAAATTAATGTAAAACATACATAATGAGCAAAATTTCAAGATTTTAAACAAAGAATCAGTGTTACTAATTAGACCTGCTCTTCACATGTTTCCACATAGGGCACCCCTGATGGTCTCACCTGCGACGATCTGTGTAATGGAAGAGGCAGGGCTGTGGGGTTTGCAGAACTGTGTTCAAGGCCAGGCTCTCTCAGTGAGCTTCCTGGTGATTTCAAGCAAGTCCTTTCCCTTCTCTGGCCTTTGGTTACCCTGTCTGTCCTGTGTAGAGGCTGGGGCATTGCCGGGGGGCCTTCTGAGCTGTCTTCCTTGTCCCCGTAGCCTGCTGGGGTTACTGTCCCTCTTCTAGGAGGCTGCGTCTCCAGGGTCATTGGCTCCTAGCTATTAATATCTTGGCCATCCCTGGCCTGGCCAGGGTATTTAATGACTGCCAGCTGTGGATCCGGCCCCCTCCCCCTGGAGAGATAAGAACAGTTCCTGTTCCCACATTGTGGGAGGGTGGGTTCATTAAAACAGGCCCCGGGTGAGTGCTGGGAATGGGCTGACTCTGACTCTTCCCCCCACCCTGCCAGCACAGCAGATGGGAGTGCCTGGGGATATACAGTTTCCACTCACCCTCCCCACGGGGGCTGCCCTGGTGTCCCCACCTGCCTGAGCCCTGTCACTTTAGGTCCTGATTCCGGTAGCCCTGGAGATTCTCCCCAGAGTCTCGAAGAGTGACATTCAGCATGTCCCACACCAGGCCATCATCCCCCCAGCCCTCCTCCTCCCCACCTGGAGGGGCACTGGCAGCTTCTCCCGGGCTGCCCCTTGGGCGCTTCTAGTAGCCAGAGTGGACTGCCCCAAACCCACCCTCACCCCTCGGCCTCACTTAGGAAGCCTGCACTGTGCTTCTGCGGGAAGCGACCTCTGATGCCTGCCCACTTGGATTCAGGTATCCCTGGCACTGCCCACTTGGATTCAGGTATCCCTGGCACCCATCATGTTCCCTTGGGACCCAGAGACCCCTACCTAGCCCTCAGAGATCACCTCAATGTTGCCTCCCCGAGACTGTCCCCTATCCATTCTGCTGGCAAACTGGCCACCCTCCCTGGGCGGCCTGTGCCCTGGAGTGGCAGGAATCGCCCACATGGTGGCCTCTGTGTGGAGGGATGGTGGCTCTCCACCCAGGTGTTTGGGCCCAAGGCCAACCTTAGGGAAGTCCTTCAAACATCCACCAGGGGGCGATAGAGACGAGCCGGCCCGACAGGTGCCTGGCCAGGGACCTGGGACTGGGGGAGGAGGCGGGGCCAGGAGCAGTTCTGCTTGTGGCCAACCCCATTCCAAGGCTGCCCCAGCCCGGGAGACAGTTTCGGCTTCTCGCCATCCTCACGTGCCCATCACTAAGCTTGGCCCTTCCTGGGCACCTTTCTGAGCAGGTCCCACCTCTGTCTTCCCTTTCGTTGCCCACATCTCGGCTCTCCGCTTCGTCCACTCTCCACACCCTTGGCTGATGACGGGTCCCCTCCCCAGGCTGCCTGCCTGACTCTGAAGCCATGACACACAGATGAGGGGCTATGAGGCACTGTGGTGTGTGGGGTGGGTGCAGTGTGATGGGGGCCCCTCCCGGCCTTCACACAGCCCAGCAGCCTGCAGGGCGCTAACCTGGAAGGCCGGTGCGGTCCTTTCCTCTGCATTTCCCCGCTCCCTCCTCCTCTCTTCTACTGGCCTGAGCTCATCTCTCAAGGAGTCCTGCCAGGTCTCAGACCTTGTTCTCGGCACAGCCTCCATCCTCTGTGTACGCCTCAGCGCCCGACTGCTTGGGGCTCCCCGCACCATCTGCGGTCCTCCCCTTGAGCTCAGGGGGCAGGGTGGGTGGCGGAAGGCTCTGGGCAGCCCCTCCTCATTAGTCACCTGGGCCTTAGCCAGGGGCTAAGCAGAGTCATCTAGAGCCCTCCCTATTGTGCAGGCGGATGGAGAGATTCACACTCAGTAAGGAGAGACCTGCCATGATCCTGAGAAAGTCTGAAGCAGAATTGGGATTAGTTGACAAGGGCTGGGTATTCTGGACCTTACTGAGAAGCATGGGGTGGACAAGGTCTCTGGAAGCCGTTCAGAGAGGCACCGAGTAGGGAGTGGGAGGAGGGAGAGAGAGGGAGAAAGAAAGAGAGAGAGAGAGAGAGAGCGCCAGCGAGAGCAAGACATGCCCCAGCTGGGTGAGGGGAGCATGGAGAGACTGTCCCCTCTCTCAGCTCCTATGCCTTGGACATGCAAGATGCTCAGGGTTAGTAGGCTGGGTGCAGTGGCTCACACCTCTAATCACAGCACATTGGGAGGCTGAGGCAGGCATATCACCTAAGGTCAGGAGTTCAAGACCACCCTGGCCAACACGGTGAAACCACTGAGCCAGGTGTGGTGGCCCATGCCTGTAGTACCAGCTACTCAGGAGGCTGAGGCAGGAGAATTGCTTGAACCTGAGAAGTGGAGGTTGTAGTGAGCTGAGATCACACCACTGCACACCAGCCTTGGGGACAGAGCCAGACTGCATCTCAAAAAACAAAACAAAACAAAAAGATGCTCAGTAACCTCATTGGTGGTCACCACTGATGGTCTGGGTGGGGGGAGGGGGGTGTTACTGAGAATGATCTCTCCGGCAGGCCTGGGGGTACCTGAGGTCAAGGTTAGGGACAATGCCTCCTTCTCGGTCCTATGGCTGACCATGCACAGATCAGGGTGTGCAGTGTGACTCCAGACGGGGAAAACGTGCCACTCCACTGAGCAAAGGGCATTCATTTCCCTGGGGGTGCCTCACAGTCATTTCTATCCTGGCCTGAACACCCCTGACTCTGGCCTCTGAGGATGCTGGGTTGGAACCGTCATTGATGATGGGTCCTGGGATGTACTGGGTCAGACAAGGCTTTGAAGAAGACTTGCAGACAGATCTGAGCCTTCGCCAGCCCGTGCTGACTACATCGTCACCAGCCTGGCATCCCTCTCTGCTCCTCTAGCAAATTTGCAGGAGGTGGGACCCAAGAAGGTCAGGATGGGCATCGGCTTTGGAGACATCTCGTGCTGACCGATGTTATTTGCCGTACTGCCTGTGTTTAAACCTTCTCATGAGTGGTGCACTGTCTCTGCTCGCTCAGCTTGTGTTGGTGACATCTGTTTTGTCCACTACCTGCCTCCTCTGGCTGAGCCCAGGGCATCTGCAGAACCTTGTCTGCAGGAGTGACTGCGGCCTGTGAAGCACTCACGCTCAGCCATCCCTGAGACCCTGGTGGCTCTGCCAGCTGTTTGGTGTCAATCCAAGATCAGGGTGGCCTTTTCTTGGCTGCATTTAAGGAGTGGGGAGAGGGCACCTGGTCTGACTCCGTCACTCAGAGGAAAGGGTGCCATTCAGAAAGACGGGAGTTGAAGGCGTCAGAACTGTGAACATCTCATATGAAAATATGGACTTCTGTCAAAAGCCAAAAAAGTGGTGGCATCCGGCCTCCGCACTGTTTAAGACCACCCATCCTTTGAGCGGAAGCTGGTCCCATTTTAGGCCACATGAGAACATCAACCACCAGGGGAACCAAGCCAAACCAAGCCAACATTTATTGCTGCACAGCCTGTTGCAGCCCTGAGGGATCCTCTGGCGGAGGTGTGGGTAGGAAATTGAGTGGCCACTGGGTGAAGGGCAGGCAGAGGAGGCCGTGGCCAGCAGGCTCCTGCCCAGATGATACATGGGCTGGAGGCCTCCTCGGCCACACTGCAGGGAGGGTGGGGCAGGAAGGGGGATTCAGGGATAACGGCAGTGAACACATAACCGAGAGGATCCGCTGGTTACTAAATACAAAAGTTAGTGAGTGTGCTTTCAGTTTCCTGTCAGCCAGATCTGAGTTCAAATCCTGCGTGTGTGGCAGGGGGAGGCAACTGCTGTCAGAGCCCACGGGCACACATCTCCGAGCCTGGTTACAACAGCTGGCACATAGGTGGGCGGCCAAGGAGGGCAGCTCTTGATTTCTGTTGCTTCCACAGCGCAGAGGGATGGGTAAGGCTGGTGCGAAGATCCCGCTCGGACTGGAGAGCAGGTAGGCTGCCTGAGACCTGGCGTTCACCGGTGGCTGCCTCCTCCCTTCCCAGAGGCTTCAGAGTCCCTCGGCCTTGGGTGGCATCGTTCCCCCACCAGACTGACCCCGGGCCACTCCACTTCGGTGGCGACCACTAAGACAGCTGTGCTTCCCGAAAACTCCAGAATAACGCGCCTTGAGGAGCTGGTAGCTAAGCGTGAGGCAACAGGGCAGAGAGCTGCATCTGCAGAGAAATGCCTGAGTCACAGCAGTGGTGAAATTTCAGGCACTGCCTGGCGCTGGCGCCGGTGATCTTCCCGGGCAGAGCCTTCCGCCCTCGAATCTCAGCAGCATGGTCCGAGGATCTCAGGTTGCTTTCCTCCGATTGGGCAGAGGAGCTGGCAGGGGGCGGAGTCAGTATGAAAGTATGCAGGCCTTTGCCCGTGATTGGTGGAGGGCTTTGGAGGAGGAGTCGTGGCTGAGTCCCACCTGCAGGGGGCGGAGTCAGGGTGAAAGTGTGCAGGCCTTTGCCCGTGATTGGTGGAGGGGCTTTGGAGGAGGAGTCTGGTGGCTGAGTCCCACCTGCAGGGGGCGGAGTCAGGGTGAAAGTGTGCAGGCCTTTGCCCGTGATTGGTGGAGGGCTTTGGAGGAGGAGTCGTGGCTGAATCCCACCTGCAGCCCTCAGGGAGAGGAGCTCCCTGCCTCTCCTACTTGCTAGAAACCTCCAGGCAGGCACCAGGGCTGTGCTCTGTAGGGGCTGCGCTCTGTAGGAGCTCTGGAACAGAGACCAGAGGGCTGGGGGCAGCCTCCGAGCCCAGGGCTGGGGCTGGCCGCGCCCAAGTAGGCCTCTGTCCCCGGCGTCTGCCGGGGTGAGTGGGAGGGGCCCCGGGATCCTGGCGGTCAGACCAGGGAGACTTCGGCTTGGAAGCTGGAGGAGCGGCGGGCCCCGGGGCTGACGCGGGTCAGCATGGAGACCTGCGTGCTGCACGTGCCGCTGTTGCTGCCTCCTGATGGGGGCCGGTATTTGGGGTTCCAGCCCAGGACGCCCTGCAGATGCCAGCGCCGCCACTTCCGCCTCAGCTCCGCCTGCACCTAGGAGAGGGTGAGGTGGTCGGGCCCACTGCTGTGGAGCCTCTTCCACTGCGGGTTGGGCTTCTCTCGACTTGGGTTCTGAACTAGCCAGCCTTATCTTCTTTAGGATATCAAAATGGGGAGACCCGATGCCGCCTTGGGTGGTGCAAACTTGGGACTGGGTTGAGGCCAGGTTCAAAAGGAGGCCTTGGAATGGTAGGAGGTGAGAGGCAGAGAGGATCCGAGAATGCAGTCCAGGGAGGGAGCAGGATGCTGCCTAGGGGCGACTGTACCCCAGTTCCTCCCATCCTGGCCCTCCAGCTCACTTGAATGGGTTTTTGTGCATTGTAACCAAAGCTTCACAGCAATTCAACCCTCGCTGAGAGCCCCCCACTCACTGCACACAGCCACTTAGCTAGGTGTTCCCAAACTCGGCTGTGCACAGGAATCCCCCTGGGAGTTAGTAAAAACCTGTTTTTGTTTTTAATAATATTAAAATGCAGATTCCAAGCCAGCAGGCCTGAGGTGGTCACCGAGACTCGTGATTTAGCAAGGGCCTAGGTGACACCAGTGCTACTAGTCTGAGGACCATATTGGAGTAGCAAGGTTTAACCTGTCCTTGCTCTGCACATATCTCATCAGTGTTTCTGGACCCTGGTCCTGGGAGTTCCATCATCTGAGCTCCAAGGACTGGGAGGTGCTTACCTCGCCATTGAGGAAGCAGTAGAGGATAGCCACCACGAAACCCTGGGAAGGAAGGGGACAGAAGAGGTGAGGTAGACAGACACCAGAAGCCCCCACCCTGCCCCACCCTGCCCCACCCTTGGCTCCAGCCCCTATGCTCCCCTGGTTAAGGAAAGAGCTAAGCACAAAGTAGGTGCTTATCTAATACTTGTTACAGTAAAAACATTGGAATCCAGTGGCAAGGGCCAAGACTCCAGGGTGAATTCCATTAAAAGCCAAAGAAGAATGCAGCCTTAAGTCAACAGTCCGTACCTGGAAAGACCCCACGATGAGCTCAAAGACCATTTTCACCTCAGCCTTAAAATTGTCAGGAAAGAAGGCGAACATGATGTAGTGCACTCCGAACAGGGGGATCAGCAGGAGTGTGGACCTGGCCAGCCTCCTGGAGACAGGGGGGGCAGGCCGTGGGCATGTGTCCACATGTGGATATGGTGGCTGGAGATGGGGGGGGCAGGCCGTGGGCATGTGTGTCCACACATGTGGCTATGGTGGGGCCTGGCATGGGGGAGCTGGAGGCACGGAAGATGGGGACAGTGACCAGGATGTGTGAAGATGGAGTGTGGGTCCCCCTAAATACTATGTCCATGTCTGTTCCTGTTCCACAGCCGCGGTGCCTCTGCCCTCATGCCCCCAGCCTTCCTGGCCTGGAAGGAAGCCCCTCTCTTCTCACCCTTCTGGAGGAGAGAGGGTAAGAGGTAAGGGAGAGGCCAGTGGGAATGACGCATCAGGGACATGTGAGCTGAAATCCACTATGAGAGGCCAGTGGGAATGATGCAGCAGGGACATGTGAGCTGAAATCCACTATGGGGTGTTCTGTTGCCTGGGACGCCTGGCCTGGGAGGGGCTTACCTCACTATGGCCGTAGAGGATACTCTCAGCCATAAGGGCAGTGGAAAATCTCTCAGGCAACAGGAGCCCCTGGTTCCCTTTCTCCTGGCCTCAGCTTTTCCAATTCATATAACGTAGTAAGCGCAAGCTTGACATAGTCAGATCACAGAGCGGGCCCGCTATGAACGTGGAAGTGTTTTGGGTGGGATAAGGTGAAGTGTATCCACGAGAGACCAATTCCCTACCGGGAAGATGTACTAGGAAGCAAGTCTTTCTGACTGGGGTGCTGACCACACATGCCCAGGGCCACTTGGGAGGGTGATGGGGACCCAAGTTCATGCCTGATCACCAGGGACAACCCAGAATGAATCAGTATCACCCTCTGTCTTTGTTTTTTCTGCTGTGTCTGCTTTTCCAGGAGTTGCTGCCTTCTCTGGGATTGCATCCCTTCCTCCTCCCTCCCCACACCACTGCATACACCCCCAGCATGCTCTGAAGGACCGGCTCCTCCTTTACAGCTGTGTGTGCTGAGCAGGGTCAGCATTCATTCTAAATGTTTATCCCTCTCACAGAGCCCAGGGTGCTTTCTTCCTGGTTCAGGCTTCCCAGCCACCTGAACTCAGCTGGTCCAGGCAGTGTGAGCCCATTACTCCCTGGCTAGGAGAGGTGGGGTGTGGATAGAGAAGGTCTCTGACTCTGTCTCTCCTGCCTTAGCAGTCGGTCCAAGAAAGCCTAGCCCAAGGCTTAAGGTCCCACAGCAAGCTGGGGGCAGAGGAGTTGGCCTTGGCCCTCCCACTCCTTCCCGGACCTGGTCCCCAGCTATGCCAAGATCCTGAGCACTGCCCACCCCTCTTCAGCTGCAAAACTATGCGATGCACCAGAGGCTAACAGATGGAGGCTTTCTTTAAAGCGAAGCCTCCTGGGGAGGTGGAGAGTGGGAGCTGAGAGCCTCTCCTTGAGGAGCTCCATCTCTGACTGCCCCCACCCCTTCTGCCTGCTGACAACTGTTTCCTTTCTGTCTCACCCACACAGACCTGGCTCTGCCCATGGCCAGCTCTGTTTGCCTCAGATTCAAGCCCTTTGGAATCGTTGTAAGTTGGGAGAGATAAGGTCCCATCGGCAAAGGAGAGGATGGGGGGTACAGGCCCGACGTGCTGCCCCTTGGCAGCCTGCAGACCCCCACAGGAGCCTTTCCTTCTCAGACAAGAAGGGAGCTCCGCCTACAAACCTGGCAAGAGAATGCGGTCACACCAGGAATGTGAGTCTTAGTCTCATCAGGGAGAATCACAGCATTCCAGAATAGAATCCTAAATCCAGTAGCATGTGACATTCTCGCCAGGAATCTTAGAACCATAGCACAGACTCTCCAAAGAAGCTAGGCCAAGAAGACCATTCTAGAATCCCAGGACCAGAAGGCCTTGCGGGGCGCCCCAGGTCTGTCTGTGGGCACAGCACCGATGCTCCATCTCCTGCTCCCTCCGTGAGCGTGCAGACCCTGCGTGCCTTCCCACAGCCTCCCTTTCCACGTTGCTCCTGTTTCTTTAGTCTGTCTTCGAGCCATGTTGCTCCCACAAAATTCTGCCTCTTCCTCCCAAGCACAGGGGACAGTCCTGACACCTTTCCAAGCCCTGGTCCACACCGTGCCCCCTTCTCCCTGCCCATGGTGACATGCTCCAAAACCCTCGAGGAGGAGGGCGTGTATGTCAGTTTCTTCTCTGTAAAATGAGGATAATTTTACAGGGGACTGTGTGGACGAAATGATATGATGCATGGAAATCCCTTAGCGTGTGCCTGGCATGTAAACCGCAGGTGTCATCATTATTACTAAGAAATACCGAGCGCTGAACATGCGTGTCTCATTGGCGGACTGGGCCCCCCTGAGGGTATGCATCTGCTGTGTGCTTAGTGCCCCCTTTCCATGCCAGGGACATGGTATGAACAAGACACAGGTCATCGGTGTCCTCTCCAGCTCCCTGGCTGGGAAGCAGATGCATCCCTGGGAAGGGTGCCAGATGAGTGTGGGCAGCAGAAGCATCCGTGGGGCTCTGAGCACAGCCTGGTGAGGGCGGGGCTGGGCAGGGGGCTGGTAGGCTGAGCCAGGCCATGGTGGAGGTGGGCACGAGCAACGTGGCTCTGTGGTGACTCCGGATGTTTGGGGTGGAAAGACTTCGAGGAGCTGTGGGATGGTTTAGGGCCTGGGGACAGAGGCACTGGGGCCACACTCACGAGTAAGGACTGCTGCCACTCTTCCTGATATCTGGGGGCCGCAGTTTCTGAAGCAGGATTCGGATGATGCAAATAAACAGGATGAAGTTCACCTAGTGGGTGGGGACCGAGGTCAGCAGCCAGAACGGGAAGGCTGGGGTGCGGCCTGCCCCTTCCCAGGGTCCTGCTGCCCTCTGGCTTTGGGCAGGTCACCCGGGAGCCCCACCTCCTTCACTTCCCTTAGGACAGTGCTCCATAAGTGCCTACTCTCAAGGAACAGCTAGGGGGACCGGGGTGGGGTGACCCTGCACTGGGCATTGGGAAGCTGCGTTTCAGTTCTGACCTAGATACTAACTTCCCGTGTGACCTGGGGCTAAGCTGCCCGCCCTCTGGAGCTGTTTCCCCATCCCTGGGTGGCGAGAGGGTGCCTTACCAGGATGGAGGTGAGGATAGGGCCCTTTATGATCCACCACAGGGAGGAGTCGATGATGTCCCAGCACCTAAGCAGGGTGGGGAGGAGTGAGAGGGCCGTCCTCAGCCAGAGTCAGCAGCACCCTCCGCAGTTGTCCCCAGCTCTGCCCCTCAGCCCTTCAGCACCCCCCGGCCCAGAGTCCGCTGCTCCCCAGGTCCTCCTTCCAGCCTCCCCTCTGGACTGAGTGCCGTGGTTTTTGTTCACTCAGCAAGGCCAGGTGGCATTATCATCCCACCCAGGGGACCTGCCCAGGTGACAGCAGCGGGGGAGTGGGGGGGGCGGCAGCTCACCCGTAATCCTCAAAATGGATCCTGACGATGGCCCACACCGTGGTGAACGTGCTGGGCACCCCTGTCAGGCCCGGGCAGAGGGCATAGGAGGCAGGGGTAGAGGGCATGAGGGAGATTTCGGAGAGAACCAGAGAGGGCGGGGTGAGAGAAAAGGGTGGTTTTCAGGCTGCCGTCTTCGGTCGCACAGGCTGTTCACCGCGGGGCGTGAAGCTGTGTCCCTCAAGGGCTGTGTCTACTTAGACAGACAGTCTGTTTCTAATCGTGACAGAGGCCCTTTGCAGATGAGCAGTGGCCCTGCGTATTTCAGGGGCTGAAGGGAGCAGGAAGGATGCTCACAGAATCTGTCCCACAGGTCAGCCCTGAGCAGCTGCGGGCTGAGGGGGCCTGTCCTGGGCTCCACATTTTGAGGACTTTCTCGACCCTTAGCTGACATCCTTGCAGGCAGGACCTGCAGCTAGAGAGACCTAGGACTGCAAGCTGGGTTGGCACCCTCCCCTTAGGCAGTTCTCCAGGCCTGGCCCTCTGTCCCCAGCCTGGAAGCCCTCCCTGGTACCATACCCCAGCCGATGAGTATGTACCCCCAGAAGTACTTCCGCTCGGAGAAGAAGGAGACGGCGAGCAGGGTGTACAGGTAGAGCCCCTCCACCAGCAGCCAGAAGAAGTTGGCCATGACACAGTATTGGAAGAAGACCATTGCTGCCTTACAGCCCACCTGCAGGGGGGAGACAAGCGTCCTTGACCGCCGTGCCCGTGTCTGGGGCAGAAGCACGGTCCAGTGCAGCCAGCTTCATCTCGGCCGCTCCTGCGTGAACCCCTTAAAAATGTGCCCGGTGGTTTTCCCATTTTCCCTAATTTGAGGTCGTCTGATACTTTGGGATAACCTGATGACTTTAATTCTGCATCCATCAATTCATCGATTCATCTCCCATCTATGTATCTATCCATCAGCTCATCCACCCACCCACCTACTCATGTACCATTTCTTCCTCCACTCACCCGCTAGACGTTCACTGTCAACTCAGTGTTTCCATTTCATCCACATATCCTTCCAGCATCTACTCATCTTTACCTCTGTCAGTCTGTCCACCCCCCACCCATCTCTCCATTCACCTACCAGACTGCTCACTTAGCCAGATGCCCATCCATCCATCTCTACACCCACCCACCAACCGCCCAGCCGCCTACCCGCCCCTCTGCCCACCATCCGTCCAATCTTCCTCCCTTGCCCGTTTATCCTTCTGCCTACTCAGCCAGCCACCAACCTGCCCATCCACACCCCACTCCAGCCACTCATTCATCCAGTGCCAATTTGCACTGAAGGTAGCTGGAAGGTATGAGGGAGAATTCTTGCTTGAGTTTGCCAGAGCCCGCTGAGTGTGTGGGGCGGGCTGTGGACTATGGGGTGGGGCCCAGAGGGAAGTGTGGAGGGAGACTGGGACCCAGAAGAGGGTCGGAGAGGGGAAGTAGCAATGAAGAAGGGGAAGGGGGGCAGGTGGCCATTCCTCCTGGGTTCAGAGGACCTAGTGGAAGAAGGGATTCCTCAGGGAGACCGGGAGTAGGGCAGTCACAGGCTCCGGGTGTCCCGCGACATGACTGGAAGGTGTTCTGGGCCTTTTGTCCCCTCTCAGAAAGTCCCTCTTTTCAGATCAAGCCTAAGTGTCTGTGAGCCAGGTTCAATGCCACCCTCCTCCCGGAAACTCTGGCTTCCACCTCCCCTGCACCCACAGTACCGGCTCCCACGCTTCCTTCCTGTACCGTTGGCTCGAGACATCCTCAGCAAGAAGCTCCCCTCCCTGCCCCCACCTCCTCCCTTGGTTGGGAAGTCCTTCCTCAGGTCTTGCCCAGTCTCTCCAGTGACAGGAGTTCTTGCCTCCCCTTTTGGAGGATCAGTTCTTTATCAGGACCAGTTATCTGCTTCCTCCTTGTCTTAGAAAAGCTTCACAGTAATGAGTCTGCACAATTATCCCTAGCACGTGCACAGGAGGCAACATGTTCCTCCACAGGCCTGTGGCTCCCACTGCTCGTGTCTCACTCAGCCTCCCAGCTCCTGGGCAGAGCCTCTGGGAATGGCCAAGGCTGGTCCCCTGGGTTTTCTCTCCCCTTTGTTGAAATGCCTGAGATTCCAGCATGATTATTTCAGTCTTTGGGGAGAAGGTACTGCTGACCCCTGATATAACGCATTGCCTCTGGGGTCGCGCATGAACCAGTGAGTCACCGAGGACAAGGAATGAGTGGGGCTGTCTGTCAAAGCTTGGGGCACTCAGGGAGGGTCCCTCAGAATCCCTTGGGGATGGCCCCCTTGGTGACTGGCAATGCATTCCTTAGATTCTCCCTTTACTTCCCTTCCCTAGGAAAGCCCAGGACCAGCCTGACGGCAGGATCTGAACACAAGAGGAGGACCCCGTATGTTTGGGCGCACTCCAGACGGTGCAGGGAGGGGCAGGAAAAGCGGCGTGGTGCGCAGAGCCCTGGCTATGCAGCTGGCAGAGGGCAGGGTGGGAAGGAATCTTGGACGTCCTGGCACAGATGGGGAAGCTGAGGCAGTAAGTTCCCCGCGGCCACACAGGAAGTTAGCAACACAGGTGGGACAGGGGCTCTGGGCTGTGGCCATGAAGTGTCTCATTTCCCATCTGCTTTTCTCACTGGCGGGGGCAGGTCTGTGAGCTCCCAGATGGCTCAGCAACATCTCCTGTTGCCGGAGGGGAGTGTGATTTGAGCAGCTGCCAGGTGGGGTTGGGCCATCCTTGGGGTGGGGGGGAAGAGGGACGGGGGACAGGGAGAAGCAGGGGGAGAAGAAGAGATGACGGTGGCTAAGGATAAGGGCGAGACTGAGGGAGGGGCCGGGTCCTCACCGAGCCCTCGGAGCACTGGTCCGACTCGCCGCTCTCGAAGAGGGCCAAGTCCTTGATGAAGACGGCGGCGGCCCTCAGGATGAAGGAGACGAACAGGTGCGTGTGGATGTAGTTCCTCGTGCAGTGGAGCTTCCTGCGTGGGGTGGGCAGATCCGGGAGGCCAAAGCGGCCTTGGGCCCCACCCCAGCCCACGCTGTCCTCTGCTCTGAGCAAGGCTTGGGTAGCAGAGCGTGTGTCCCCAGGGGGCAGGCCCTGCCTCGAAGGGGGTCCCATCCTGAACTACGAGTCCCGCCCCCCCAGTGCTCCATCCTCCTGTGCAGCTGGGCCCCCAAGTGTCAGCCCCCGCGCGGCCCCAGAAGCCTCATTCCTGCATGCAGGACACACCCTCTGCTGCCCTCTCCCCAGCCGCAGGGCCATCCTGGGGAGACTGGGCTGGAGCACATGGAGCGGCCTGGCCGCCTGCCTTCTCCAGGGGAGGCTGGCCTGGCAGGAGCTGGGGCCTGTGAGCTGCCGGGGGAGACAGTGGAGCGGTCGGGGCGTGCCTGGGCCAGGCTGGGCTCCAGGGTGGGAGGGATACTTGCGGGGTCTGCTGTGAGGCCTGTCACTTGGGCTGGGCCTCACCTGAACAGGTTCAGGATCGCCGTGGCAACCAGCAGGGTGGCGAGGGACAGGCTATAGCCCACGGTGTACCCGGTCTTCACGGAAGCGAAGAACATGGTCTGCTGCTGCTGGAGGACGGGGGGCTCACCTCGGGGGACTGGCAGGACTGGGGTGCCCCACACACTCCGCCTGCCCGTCCCTGCCCCAGCAAATGGGGCTGAGGCCTGGGGCTCCTGAGAGCAGCTGAGCAGAGCTCCTCAATGCCCTGACCCTAATGCCCTGGTTTCCACAGACTGTGTCTGAGGGGGGGTGGGGGTTGAATGTACTGTCTCTCCTTGTGTCTTCACAAGGGACGAGTTGGTGAGGGAGAGAATGAAGACCCAACTCTGGACTGGGCACCCTGGGGGCCGGGTCTCCTTGCCCTTCGACCCCCCTCAAGACCCTGTCTGTACAGGAGAGGCATGCGGACGTCAGAGGAGACCTGCTGAGCTCTCAGGAGCTGGGGTTGGTGGGACGAGGGCAGCCTGGCCTTTCTTGGGGAGGAGGGCAAAGCTGGGCCCGAGGGTTTCTTGCTTGGTCCCCTCTCCCGACCCCTCCCTGTGGACACAGGCAAAGCGCAGAGTGACAGTCACGAGATGAGCCGCTCCTTGCTCTCCACCCCCCACGCCCTGCCCGAGGAGAGGCAAGTGGTTATGGGGGACCAGGGTCCACAGCTCCGGTGGGCTCCAAAGGCCTCTGAGGAAACTGCTGCCCTCTTGGGGGGTGGGTGGAGTGAAAGCCCCATCTGAGGGCGCCTGAGGGTGGGTAGATGTCATCACAGGCAGACACACACCATGCATTTGCACCCTAAAGCAGTGAGGGTCTCCTAGCTGAGGACTCCAGCCTCCCCATCAGTGTCCTCACCAGGCTCCCCAGTCCTTACAGAGACCATGACTGGCTGTTTGGTAGCTGGGGCTGGTTCCTTCTGGGACCTGCAGCACCTCGCTTTCACCTCTGGATGGGATGGGGTGCTGGTGTCTGCCTGCCCTGCCAACTCCCGGGTTGGCTCCCATGAGTCAGGCTCCCATGAGGCAGTGGGGTGGCCCAGCCTGGGGGTGCTGCCTCAGCTTGCGCTGATCTGGGGACCCCTCCTGTGGGAGGGCCTCCTCCCATACCTTGTCGAGGGGAGCCGAGGGGTGGGCCCCCAGAAAGGCAGGCGGAGGAGGCTACAGGAGGGCAGACCCCAGAGTCCTGCTCTCACAGACAGCAGCAGCACCCCTTGGTGGGAGAGGTCAAAGTCGCCTAGGTGAGCCCTGGCGCTCCGCAGGTGGGGTGGGGTGCACTGAGGCCCACCTCATCCAAACTCGCCGCCTTGTCATCCAAACCACAGGCGACGGGGTAGGGGCCGGGGTCCAGCTGTGTCCAGCCTTCCTCAGTGCAGCGGCGGCTCACGTTGCGGCCTGGGGGAGGGCAGGGGCAAGGACAGAGGCTGAGGCCGGGAGCAGGGCAGGGCCCTGGAGTCGACCGTGGGGACCTGGCTGTCTCTGTGCTTGGAACAGGGCAGAGAATTCAGTCCTACTCCCACCAACCCTGGTGCTGTCTGGCTCCAGCTGCCCTGACCCAGATACCCAGGGTACCGTGGGGGCACCTGGGGCAGGGAAACGCCTCTTCAGGGCTCCGGCACGGATGACAGAATCCCAGCAGACATGAACCTGACCCCATGTACAATGCACACTCTGATCCTTGTCACAGACCCGCCTGGATCCTCGTTACAGAATGCTTCCTGACCCTTGTCACAAGGTCATGGCTGGGGGAGGGGGCCAGGTCTGCCCAGTCCTCCTTAGCCTGCCTGGGCCTGTGGGGCTGGGTTTCTTCTCATACCTGATGTGCTGCTGAAGGGGGAGCAAGGCTGAGCAACATCTGTTGCAGAGGGGAGTGTGATTTGAGGTGCTGCCAGGTGGGGTTGTGTGGGGTTGAGCCATCCTTGGATTGAGGGGTGGGTGGCAGGGAAGAGGGAGGAGGGAGAAGGGAGTGAGGAGGGATGAGGGTTGGGGAACACCTGATAAGTGTGCAGATCCTAAATCCTCACGAATAGAGAAGCAGGGGGTTCCTGGCAGGGGAATCTGTGCGGACAAAGCCATGTGAGGGGGAATCAGGCAGCACAGCAAGGCAGGAGCTTGGGGCTGGAACGAGCAGAGGCGGAGGCTCTAGGGCAGCTGCCTGTCCACTGTCCTTGGAGGCTCCGAGCTGCAGCAAGGCACAGGCCCGCTAAGGGGATGTAAGGTGAGAGGTACCACGGAGGCTCCCCACTCTACAGCCCTGGGGAGGTGTCCTCTCCCCTGAGAGGGGAGTGTGGGCTGAACAGAAAGTTGATGAGCGGGAGAAGAATCTTGCTTCCCCATCTCAGTACCCGTTCATCACTGCCACCGTCACCACCATCGCCACCATGTCAGGCTCATCACCAGGACAGGTTTTGAGCACTTTGCAAATGCAGGGCTGGTTAGAGCACTTTTGACACATCGTGTTTAATTTCCTCAACCATCCAGTGAGGAGGGTAACCCCATTTCACAGTTCAGAAGTGGAGGCACCAAGAGGTTGGTCACTCGCCCAGGGCCATACAGAGAGGGCAGGATGCTGCTGGTCGGGTCTCCAGAGTCCTGCCAGGTAAGCTTGGTTCTCACCTGCATGGAGGTGACCTGAGGCCTTATTTCGGTGGCCAGATGCCGAGCAGCAGGAGGGTCAGTCTGTCCTGTGAGTTCAGGAAGGGTCACCGGACACGTGTGTTTATTTCCAAACTTTGCCATGTGCCCAGCATATACCAGGTGATTCGATATTCACCATTTCTGTAAATCCTCCCGGCAACCCTTAGAAAGAGGTCTTGTCACCCAGTTTCATGGATGAAGAATGGAGGGACGGCTTGGGGTGGGGATGAGACAGCCAGGAAAGAGCAGCCGTGGGCTGGGTCCCTTTGCATCACATGGCCCAGGGAGGGCAGGAAGGATATGGCTGAGGAGGGGCATTGCACTGGGCGTTTCTTGCCTCAGCATCCCCTTTTCTGCCCAGGGCTCCCAACCTCACTGCTGCGAGAGGTTGCCAGGACAGTAGAGAAGCCTTCAGCTGCCGCAGTGTGCCCTGCTCAGCTTCCCATCATTGCAGCCAGAGGTAGGCCTGGCCCAGAGCCGTCAGCCCAGCCCTCATCAAAGGGCAGGCCCTTCCTCAGCCCCAGTTGCAGGGAGCTAACTGCAGGCCCCGAGGTCCTGGCTCCCACCCACAATCTGTTTCTTTTGAAGACTTGCCCCTACCAGGCTTGGGCAGGTAGAAAAGAGGGTTATGGGCTGGGTGCGGTGGCTCACGCCTGTAATCCCAGTGCTTTGGGGGGCTGAGGCGGGCAGATCATGAAGTTAGGAGTTCAAGACCAGCCTGGCCAACATGGTGATACCCTGTCTCTACTAAAAATGTAACAATTAGCCGGGTGTGATGCCACACGCCTGTAATCCCATGTGGGAAGTAGAAAAGTTCCTTTTTAAAGTTTCCTTTCTTGTTAAAGAATAAGTGTGCTAATAACTTTGTTAAGCCCTATCCTATGTAGCTGTTGGACATGCCATGCTTACAGGCATGTAGTACATTCTGTGTCCTTGTACTTTAACCAGGATATCTGTGCTGGACGTGCTCACAGGCATGTCCCAGCTCTCCATGGCTTTTACCTGTTTAGAAAAGTTTTAAGTTGTCAGCCAATTGGGTTTTAGGTTAGATTGTGAGGTCTGGCTCCAGCCAACGGAGATCAGACACAGCAGTAAGGACAACCCCAAATGTTCAAGGGGTAAATTTTGGTGCTTTCCTTTGTTCATTGTACTCTCATGGCATGATGGCTAGCGGGGATGCCCTTCCTGCAGTCCAGGAAGTAAAAATTGCGTTGCCGAAAGATCCTTCGTCTCAGTGATAATTTTTCTTTGAGGCACCAACCACCTATTTCCAACATCCCAGCTACTCGGGAGGCTGAGGCAGGAGAATTGTTTGGACCCAGGAGGTGGAGGTTGCAGTGAGCTGAGATCATACCATTGCTCTCCAGCCTGGGTGACAGACCAAGACTCCGTCTCAGAAAAAAAAAAAAAAAAAAAAAAAGAGAGTTAAGGCCAAAGTCACCCAGCCTTGAAACTAGGACACTGAAGCTTTGGGCTTTGTACTCACCAGAGGGACCAGTGACACAGCAAGCTTCTGGTATCGTGAATTATGCCAGCAAGCCTGGGTGACTCTGGCACTTACACAGCGGCTTCACGTGTGTGTGTGTGTGTGTGTGTGTGTGTGTAGTGTTAGGGTAAACATTAATATGTTGAGGCTAGAATAGACTCAGAAGTTTTTATTATCCCACCAAAAAATGGGGATCCCAAGGCTAAGAGAGGTTAAGTGACTTGCCCATGGTCACACAGCAAGGGAGCAGCAAGACTGGGATACAGACTCCAGATCTTTCTGGGCTCCCAGCAGTGGCCAAAGGGGCACCCTGTTTCTGGAGCCCTGGCTGCTATGGATGGTGAGGGAGAGGAGGGACGGGCGAATGGTCATCTTTGGGGCCAGGTGGCCTCTTTGAAGAGCCCTGGCACTGTGGTCAAGACTTCAGAGCAAGCTGCTCTCAAGGAAATCAAAAAGGCAGCCCCCACGGGACCCCAAGAAGCAGCCAAGAGTCTCCCTCCAGTCTGGGCCTGGAAGCCAGCAGGCCCTGTATCCGCAGAGGGGGTCATGAAGGGCCGGAGGGAGGGAGCAAGAGGCTTTAACCCCGTGCTGGGAGGAATACCCCACGGCCTCCCAGTCTCCTCCCACCTACCATGTCTCACAAAGCAGTCATGGCCCAGGGCCCTCCACTCAGTACCCGTAGCCAGGAACTGGGGAGTAGCCCTCTCCCTGCTCCCGTCTCTCCTCTCTCCATCAGTCACCAGTCCTGTCCCTGCTGCTCCTTCCCCAGCACTGCCACCTCCTCATCTCCCCTGGATTAGGTAGGACCCCTGCTTTCTTGCCAGCTCCCCACCCTGAGGCAGGTGGAAGGGTCATGCTAACACCCAGACCTGACCATGGCACTCTCCTGCTGATTCCCTGCCATGATGCCCCATCCCAGCCAGCAAGGAGGAGCTTCCTAGGCTGGCGGCAAGGTTTTCTTATTTACAGCATCATGAGCAGGTGGCGGGGGAGGGGAAGTAGCCCACAGACCCCACAAACACGGTAAACATAGACCATACATTGAATTTTCTCAGCCAGAATGGTTCTCCCATTTTTATTCTAAAAAAAAGTCTCTTCAAATATTTGAAGCGAGAAACACAGATGAAAGATATGCAGACTACAAATCAAGGAAGTACATGCCTGTAATCCCAGCACTTTGGGAGGCTGAGGTGGGAGGATCATGCTGTCAGGAGTTCGAGAACAGCTTGGCTGTTTGTATCTTCTAAAGATACAAAAATTAGCTGGGTGTGGTGGCGGGCACCTATCCTCTCGGCTACTTGGGAGGCTGAGGCAGGAGAATCGCTCGAACCCAGGAGACGGAGGTTGCCGTGAACCAAGATGGTGTCACTGTACTCCAGCCTGGGCGAAGAGCGAGACTCCATCTCAAACAATAAAAACAAAAGTAAGGAAGTGAGCCACCATGCACGTTTTGGTGCTTTAGTGCACCTGGAGAAACGCCCTCCTTCAGTATTTCATCCAGCCTAGGTAGATGACTTTTGTCTAACTCTCCACAGAATTTGTATCATCTTCCTTCTGTAAGCTTTCTCTGGCTTTCCCTGTGGAACCAGGTCCCTTCCGGGGCATGCCTCTTCCCAGTCCTGCTATCTAAAAGGGTGTGAGCTGGTGCTCACATCACCCCTGCCCCACCCTCACAAACCTTCCTCTCTGGAATTTGAGATCAGCTGCCTACACCTTCTTCATCTACTTGCTCAGGAGAACACTCTCTTTTTTCTGTTTTCAGTCCTGAATCTCAGTCTCCTATTTCTCTCCACCATTTCTAGGGACCAGGCCCACGGAGTACAGCTGTGTGAGTTGTTCACTGCACAAGGGCATCTGGCCGGCAGGAATATTCTGCTTGCACTAGGTGGGCTCTAGTGAGAGGTCATCTCTGCCTGAGGAAGGGCTGCCTTTTTATTGTCAGTCCAAAGGCACCACAGGCCCCATTGATGCCGGCAGCCCCAGGGTTAGTCAGATGGTGGGCGGGAGTCCAGGTCCTCAAGGGAAGGAGCTGCCCTGACACGTTCCAGCAGGGACAGAAGGAAGCGCCATGGGCAGGAATGCAGTTAGCGTCAGGGAGAAAGGCAATGAGCTGGTGCTCCCAGGGGCTAGAGAGAAGGCGGGTTTCCAGGCTCAGTGACGGGGTGCACCGTGAGGCTGGCCCGAGGAGCTCCCCTCTTATCTGCCCAGGCACCGGGTGTCCCTGGAGGAGGCAGCTGGAGCCAGGTGGGTGCCGCCTGGAATACGGCATGGCTGTGACCCTCCGGACTCCTCAGGTGGGCTTCAAGATCTGTCTTTCCCCACTGAGGTCACAACACCAGGCACTGGGGGCACACTGGCCACCCCAAAGAGACCCTGGGCACTACTGCCATCCCCACTTCACAAACAGGGAACCGGGTCCAGGGAGGAGAAGGCCACCCGGAGTGGGGGACACCTGGGTTTTCTGCTGGCTCTCTGAATGATTATCTGGGTTCTGCTCCTCGTGAGGCCTCCTCCCCCAGGCCTGCTTCTCCCTCCGTATTCCCCCTAGTCCTGCGGTCTTCCCCACGGCTCATTACACCCGAGCCTAGGCAGGGCCTGCTGGATTCCTCCCTGGCCTCCCTGACTCCCATCCACTCCCACAGAGCTCACTACCTGAATTCTAACCATCAGCATTTCCTGCCTGCCTTTCACACCTAGAAACCGGTTAGAAGTTAAAAGCCTAACTTGGACTTCGTCAGCCGCCTGCTTAAAGCCCCCCACTTCTTGCCGGGCTCAGGAGGAAACTCAAATCTTCGCCTCCGTCCCCGAGGCCCTGCGTGGTCTGGCCTCGGCCCGCCTGTGCCTCCCTTCCCGGCCTCCTTCCCTCCCTCCGGCGTTCTCTCTGCTCCGGCCACTCTGGCCGTCACCGAGCTCCCTTGGGTGCTCATTCCACAGGCTGTTGATTCTCTGTCTTAATTACCCGCAATCTGGGATCTCTACCTGGTGGCGCGTGCTCACCGGCAGGCCTTCAGATTGCAGCTGAGGAACCGGCTCCTCAGAGAGGGGCTGCTGGTGAAGCGCTGCCTTAAGCGGGTCCCACACCCCTCATTCCCTCGTCCGGCACTTTCATTCTTGACGATGCACGTGTCTGTCTCCCACATGCCTCTCCAGTTACAGCGCCAGCAGCGCCGGGCTGTCTGATCCTCTCCCGACTGTCTGTCCAGCCCAGTGCCTGGCACACCGCGGGGCGTTCCATTCACTGCACAGAAGAATGACTGAATCTATACTGTAAATCTCTGTAATGACTCACTAGCGAGAAAGGCCACATGCTCGAGAGGCTCCCCTTTTCTCTTCTGCCTCATACATGACAAGGCGTGTAAGCAAAGTCGTGTGGTGACTTCACGGAGCCCGAGAGGTCATCGGCTCCAGGCATCATGAATCACGACCAGCCCAAGATAACAGAACTGTGGGAGCCATAATGCAGTCAACTACCTGTCAGTCAATCAGTTATCAATGGCTGAGCAAATATTTAGTGAGCCTTGCCTACATGCTTATCTTCACGTGAAGAGCTAATCCAATCCCACGGGCTCTTTAGAGACCCAGCGCCGTTGCCTCTCTGCCAGGGGTCCCTCGGATTGCTCCAGCCCGTCTGACCCCTTTCCTTGGCCTTTCCACTTCCTGAGAGGTGAGTCCCCACTGCAGCTGGCCCACTCACGTCACCTCTTCCGCCCGGCGCTCTTACCTTGAATGGGGGAGAAGAGCTTGAAGATGAGGGGACAGGCCAAGACAACAACCTGGCCCCGGGGGGTGGCCGGCCAGCAGGTGAGGTTGTCCCACATCTTGCCGCAGCCTGTGGGGGAAGGCAGAGGACACATGGGTCAGTAGGTGCAGCTGCCCCCAGCGCCAGGGCCTGAGCCCAAAGGCACCCACTCTCGTCCTCCTTCTGCCAGGCTCCCACCTCAAGGGGCCTCCATTCTGAGAGGGGAGGCACAGCCCTGCCCAGACCGCACGGGGCCTGTCCCGACGGAGGCAGGAAGGAGGCCTGACCACAGTTCCTTTGTCCTTAGTTCCTTCGTTCAAGACTCTGTTATGAATATCAGCAAACACTTACATAACCTTTGCATGCGCCAGGCTCTGTTCTGACCACTTTAGATGAATAACTTATGCAAAGCTTCCATTTCGCAGATGAGGAAGTGGAGGCAGAGTCCTTAGCGAGGATGGGGTGCGCCTGGGGATGCCGGTGGGGTTTTGATTGTTGCAGCAACTGGGGGGCCTCACTGGCATCTGACTGGCAGCCACCAGACATGCCACACCGGCAGCTCCTGCACTCTGCACAGGGATGAATTTTCTCACATTCTGCATGGCTTCCAGGTGAGCCACCGGGCATTTGTATAGGTGAAAACCTTTTGTAACGAACACAGCCTGGACTCTTACACCATTTTACATATAAACACAAGCCATTTAGGTTAGTGTTGATTTATTGAGACGGAGTCTTGCTCTGTTGCCCAGGCTGGAGTGCAGTGGTGCAATTTCAGCTCACTGCAACTTTTGCCTTCCTGGGTCAAGTAATTCTCCTGCCTCAGCCTCCTCAGTGACTGGGACTACAGACCCACGCCACCACACCCAGCTAATTTTTGCATTTTTAGTAGAGACGGGTTTTCACCAAGTTGGCCAGGCTGGTCTCGAACTCCTGACCTCCAGTGATCTGCCTGCCTCAGCCTCCCAGATTGCTGGGATTATAGGTGTGAGCCACACGCCCGGCCCCACCTAGTTTTTGAACAACACAGACTCCCTTAGCTCGGTCGGATGGTGAATTGTGATGGAGAACAGGCAGGGAGCAGGTTCAGGGGAACCTGAACAGTAGCTGCGTTGTCTGCCACAGCTCTCAGAGCCTGGCCAGGGCAAGGTCCACAGTGGGGTCTCCAGGGGTCTGCTTTAATAGGCCCAGGCAAATTCCATCGTTTATTCTGCTCAGGAGCTGCACGCCCCTGAGGGACTAGGACTGCTATGGACCCTCCTGCAGTTATGCAGGAGGCTTAACTGTCTCTTTGCAATCCTGCCAGTCCCATAGATTTGCTCAGAAAACCCAACCCCTGGGCCAAAGTCAACGCCAGCTGGGCCAAGTCCAGCCCAGCCCAGCTCAGGTCCGAAAGTTCCCGAGTTCCCAAGAAGGGGGTCTGGGCAGAGGAGGTGGAGGGATGTCCTTACTTGGGGAAGATCCTGCGGACTCTGTGCATTGGAGCAGGCTGGCCACAGCGAGGGGCACCTTCTGGGGCGGCAGCAGTCTGGCCGCACCTGTGGCCGAAGGCTGAGGAGGATACCTGGGCCCCCAGGGCCTGGTGGGACACTGCAGCCTCCGTTGCTCATGGAGTGCTTCCCCCCAGCCTGGCTTGAGGGCTCTTGTGGCCTCAAGTTAGCTGCCAGTCCCTCTTCCGTTCTGGGCCAGCCTCTCTGAAGGCCGAGTAGGGGCACTTCAGGTCAGTCAAACCCTGCTGGGGGTTCAAGACCCTGTTATGAATATCAGCAAACACTTACATAACCTTTGCAAGTGCCAGGCTCTGTTCTGACCGCTTTAGATGAATAACTTATGCAAAGCTTCCATTTCGCAGATGGGGAAGTGGAGGCAGAGCCCACTCCAGCCACGGTGCTGGTGAGAGGTTTGGTTGTTCACACATTCCCTCTCGTCCTGGTTGGAAGGGCTGCTGTCATTTCTCGGGGAACTGGGTTGCTGCTGGACTTTGTTTACCCCTCTCTGACAGCGCTGGGCATATCCTGTTATGTAGGCTGGCTACTGTGTCTGGGTCCCTGCCAGACTTTGGGCTCTGCAAACCTCTGCTGCCAGTACAGGCCAGGGAGTGAACCCGGGGCTGGGCCTCTGGCCCCGGGCTCTGCTTCACTGCGGTGGGACAGAAGAGAGGAAACCAGGCCCTGCCCTTGGGGAGGCCACACTTGGCCTCAAGGAATCTCAGCACAACCAAGGCTGGGCTGGGAACTGGTGCTGGGGTGTGGGGCAGCTGGCGGGGCAGGGGAGCAGGGACGGGAGGCCAGTATGAGGGGCGTGGCTGGGGAAGTAGGGACAGGGGACAGCCATGGATATACCTGGTGCCTGGAACGGCCTGTTGTCCTGGGCTGGGAACTGGGAGTATTTCCTCTGTGCATGGCCTAACGAGGACCCGCAGGTCCCATCCCACAAGTCACCAGGCCTACAGAAATTCAGGGCCCAGGCTGGCTATGTGTGCCCACGGGTGGACTGTGACCCCACAGGAAAACCCAACCCAGAGCCTGGGGTCAGGGATGGCGAGGCAAGTGAGGTGGGGCCTCTGCTGCGCTATGTTGTGGATTTGTGTGCACACAGAGATACACACACCGACATGTCCACGCCGGTACATGGAACGCCAGGTGCACAAACATGCACACAAGTACACTTGCACACGGAACAGAGAAAGGAAACAACAGAAAGACCATAGAAAGCCGCTCTCTGTGCAAATGGACAGAGAGACACCCAGCTCACAGAGACAGATCTGCAGAGACAGACAGGTCTGGGTGTGCCGACATCACGCTGATAGACACGGCCACCGGGCAGACACATCCAGGCACGTCCAGAGATGGCAAGTGTCCAGGCTTCAACAGACACACGCTTCTGACTCACAAAGATACTCAGAGTCAGACGCAGAGCTATAGACCCCAGAGGCACAGGCGCAGCGCCCCACACAAGGCCACGGATGGACCCACGGCCACAACCCACACCGGCCCTTGTCTGCATCCCAGCCTGGCTGCTGGTGACAGGGTGTTGGCACTCCATGGGCACACTGTGCCAGCAGTGACCTCATCGGAATCATGAGGGTGGCCTGCCCCAGGCCTGGCAGGTGTGCCTGTCTGCACCTGGGCCTGGCTCCCTGCACTGGTGGCGTGGGCGGGGCCTGCAGGTAGTGGGCAGGGCCAGCCACCCTGTGACCCATGCCTCGGTCTCTGGGCCCTAGAGTCAAAGCGCTGTCCTGCTTTGAGACTAGGGTTGGCGAGGCCCGTCCGTGAGGCTATACATACTCACTGGCAGAGCAGGAGGCAGGCAGCTGGGGCACCAAGGCCAAGAAGAGGGAGCTGGAAGGGGGACTAGTGAGCCAGGAAGACGTAAAGATGCTCCCTGCTCCTGAGCAAGGCTGTTACATAACTGGAGGCTCTGCCTCGGGGAGAGGGGATGGCCTGCGATGGAGGCCCGGAGCAGGCACGGCCACCTCACTGCCTCCAGCCCAGACGTGCCAGGCCGCCTCCCTGGCAGTGAGACTGGAACCTGACAGTCATGCCCCGCTCCTTATGAGAAGCCTGCCTCGGTGCCTCCCACCTTTCCGGCCTGTTTCCCCAAACCTGTTCCCCCTTCCAAGTCTAGGTCAAGTGCTACCAAGGAATTCCGCCCATTCGAACCTGGGCTGCTGAGCCGAAAGGAGGGTGCTGTCATCTGCACTGACAGCCCCACTGTCCAGTCTAGTGAGCTGGGCACGCTCTTCACACTGCCAGGTGGAGCCCTCCCGCCCCTGAGGAGTGGCTGGGCCCTCATGTGCTCAGCCGCTGGGGCTGACCTCGACTCATCAGCCGAACAGTGAGCCGATGGTTCACTGACCACTCAGGGTGGGTTGGGATGGGGAGCCCAGTGTGTGTGCCTGTATATGTATGCTTAGGGGCTGGGCCTGCCTGTGTGTGTGTGTGTGTGTGTGTTTGTGTGTGTCTGTGTGTGTGAGTTTGTGTGTGTGTCTGTGTTTGTGTGTGTGTGTGTGTTTGTGTGTGAGTTTGTGTGTGTCTGTGTTTGTGTGTGTTTGTGTGAGTTTGTGTGTGTGTGTTTGTGTGTGAGTTTGTGTGTGTCTGTGTTTGTGTGTGTGTGTTTGTGTGTGTGTGTGTGTGTTTGTGTGTGTGTGTGTGTGTGTGTGTGGTCACTGTCAGTTCTCTGGGTGTGGCAGAGCCTGAGCCTGGGGTTGAGAGGGAGGAGCATGCCTTAGTTTCCAGCCTGAGGAGTCCCTGTGGTGAGGGTCTTACATCTGTGCAGACACAACTCCTGCCCCTTCTTGCTCTGGATCACCAAGATGGCTTTGAGCTTACATGCGGTCCCTGTGGAGATCACATATTGTGACTGAACATCCCCTCTTCTTCCCCGGAGATGCAGTACAATGTTCTGATCCTGGAGTGTGGTATTTTGGGGCTAGTTCTCCCCATGCCAGCTCTAGGGGCTCCCTGCACCTGCTCACAGGCCCCCACCACGCAGCACCCTGGCCTCACGTCCTGGGTGGGTAGCAGCCATGGACATCTTCCTTTTCCTGGAGTAGAGGGCTAAGGGACCCCCAAAGGCAGAGTTGGCTCCATGTACTTTTCAGAGCCCCAGCTTAGTATGCCCTCCTCAGCCTGGCTGGGGGTTCCCCAGGCCTAGGGTGGGGTGATGGGAAAGTGAAGTCCTGTTAGCCCCTTTCTTCTTCCATCTGGCTCCCCAACCTCTCATCACCATCATCCAACAAATATGGAATGGACGTGACTTGGATCCCAGACGTGACATGAGGAAACTCGGGCTTTTGGGGGCGCGCAGCCCGTCTCTGCTCGTGGGGCCTCACCTGCTGTCTCGTTCTCCAGCTCGGCCTCCTCCATGCACTGCTTCTGTTGCACCTCGATCATCTGCAGATAGTCACACTCCTGCTGCAGCCTGGCCGCCTGGCCGCCCTGGGGACAGAGACAGGAAGGGCCGATAGCCTCGTCCACAGACTCAGGAGCAGCAGGCCCATCCCTGCGCTGCACCTCTCCTGGAGGAGGTCCCAGTCCCAGTGCAGGCCAATCCAACCCCAGACTGAAACCGGAGCCTGACCTGAATCTCCCCCAACCTGCTGTCATTGTCCCAGCCTGGGTGGGCCCTGAGGACCCTGCCACGGCTTCTTGCTGGCTCCCCCAACAGTGCTGCAGCTGTGACAGCTTCGTCTCTTTGTGGGTGGCACAGCCCCAGACAGCGGTAAGAGGGCGTCCCCTTGGAGGCCGGAGCTGCCTCTGGACTTGGCCACTCTCCAGCTTGGCTTGAGCGTCCTCTGTCCCTCTCTCGGCTTCCCCGGTGAGGGGCCAGCTCATGCCACTACTCTGTTATGTGGAGCTGGATCCTGGCCTCTGGTTCTCAGGGCCAGGCCTGGGAAGAATCCAGACGTCTAGCTGATTTTCCAGCCCTGTCATTCCAGCGTCCTGTGCTCAGTCCCCGGGTCACCAGGCTGGGAAGGGGGCTGTGGCCTTCCTTGCCCAGACCTCGCCTGCCCCCTTTTCGGTCTCTAAATAATTCAAGCTATACCAGATCTGCTGAGGGTGGGGAGGTTTAAGGAAGTAAGAGAGCCCCTCAAGGACCCCAGCAGGCTCCCTCGGGCTCTGGAAGATGGAGATGAGGGTGGGGAGGTTTAAGGAAGTAAGAGAGCCCCTCGAGGACCCCAGCAGGCTCCCTCGGGCTCTGGAAGACGGAGAGAAGGGATGGGAAAGCCCAAGCTTCCCCTCTGCCCTCCCTAACCCTGGCCTGGGATCAGGGTCAGGCCAGTGTGAAGGGACGCTGACCTAGGGGAAGACATGCAGGTGGGGTGATGGATGTCTAGGAGCAGCCAGGCAAAACAGGTTGTGGGAGCTCCTAATGGGTTAGGGTGGGTGAAGGCCTCCGGGGAGGAAGTGTTGGGCTGGCAGCAGCTTCTGTGTCTGTGGCTTTAGAACAGTGGCTGCTGGCCCCGGCAACCCCACACCAGTTTCCCCATCTCTGCCTGGGGAGGAGAATGCCAGTTTCCACCAGGGCCATAGGAGAGTCCAGCGAGACTCCAGAATCGGACATTCTCAGCATCTCTTCCAACTCGTCCCTCCCACCCTGCGACAGAGTCCTTGCCTCCCTGGGCCTCAGTTTCTCTGTAAGCTATATGGGCCTCAACCACCTCCCCTGCTGACTTAGAGGTTTCTTGAATGGATCTGTGGGAAGAACATAGGTGGGAGGGCCTTCCTTTAAGGGGGTCCCTCCTGGCCTGCAGGCACCAAAGTGCTTAGTACTTTGACCACTGTTCTAAGTAAATCAGCTCCATTTACGGGGATGTGCATCCCCGCTGGCAGCCAGCAATCCATCGCTGTGGAGGGAGAGGGGCCCAGGCTGGAGCGGCAGACTCAGTGCCTGAGGGTGCGCACCACGCCCCTCCACCCCGGCAGCTCTCATTCCTGCCGAGGGCTCTGTGGTGGGGCCTCTGTCTCACAGGCCACCTGGAGTCCAGCCCTCCCAGAAGCAGCTAGCACCAGGGTCGAGCTTGCCCAGGTCCAGGGAGGGCCTCCGTCTCCAGGACTCCTTTAGATTCCCCAGCGTCCCGACCCTGCCTGCCTGCTTGCCATTGCCCTGGAAGCCGCACGTGAACACGAGATCCATTTTGCACCTTTACCAGCCAACGGGGGTAAGGACAGTAGCTGGTAAGTCATTCACAACTTACTGAAAGTAACACAGTGGTGTGATGGAGCTTGATACAGTTATTCATATAACTGTGAAAAGATAGGAGACTTCAAGGAAACTGTGTCTGTGGTTCCTCTTTGGGGTCATGTGCTTCCTCTTTCCCATAAGGGTTACTCAGGCTGACATGCTCAAGACATTATGTCTCCAGGGACTTGTGGCTGGTTCATCCTCAAGTATAGGGGGAGGAGTGGCCAGGTCGATCTCAGAGGTGGCTTCTGGAAGAGGAACCTGGGTCCTGGCCACTCTGCCTTGTGTCCCACCATTGGTCTGTCTTGGAGCACCTGTCTCCCCAGGGTACCATCCCAACCCCATTTCCCGCCAGCAACAGGGTTCTTTCTACTTTCTGGCCCTTCCCAGCCTCTCCTGATTCTCTTGCCCAGTCTCACCTCTCATCGCCCTGTAATGTGAAAGCAGGACAGACGCAGCGGACACCTGTTGCTTCTGCCTTCCACCCCCTTCACTCTCCCTTTGTGCCATGTGCTCGTCTGTGTCTGGGAAACCACCTCTAGTTCACGGAGTTCTGATGGACCCTCTTCCAGGGGACTGACATGTGACCGAGACTTAAGTCGCCCAGGGCACTCTCGGCCACAATGCCTGACCCACCGCCCGAGTCAGGCTACTCAGAGCCAGGAGGCTCCCTCCTGGGACTTTGGATTAAGTGATTAAGCAAGTGAATTTGCTTTTTCCCAGTGGACTGGAAGCCTTAAAGGAAGCAAGGGCTTGGGCTTCTGCTGACCTCTTGTTGACAAGTGGAACACAGGGATGAAAGCCACATAGCTGAGGCAGAAGAGATGGAGAAAAATCAGGTCCTGTTAACATTGTCTGCGGCTGCGAATGCAGCCATGCCTGAAACCTACAGCTGGCAACGTGAGCTGGTACCTTTTCTTTACGGCTTGGATCAGCTGCGTTTTCTGCCGGTTGCTGTAAACAAAAGCGTTCAGCTTTGCTTTCTGAGGACAGGACAATGGGCACCCTCACTTTCTGGGCCCTCTTAAGCCAGGACTATGGCCACGTAGTTTGCCAATAAATATTTGTTTCCTGATCACCATGGGCGCCAAGGGTTTCTGCCAGCGTCTGCTTGCGACTCTCTGAGGATAGAAGGGTGCTGGGCCAACTTCTCCAGCCAACTCTGCTCCCCGACAGCACGGCCACAGCGCCCTTCCTCAGCGGCAGTTTGGAGAGAAAGGAGGGGTGGGTGCAGGAGCCTGTGGGGCTTATGAAAAAGTGGGTGTGGTCTGGAAGATGAGCTCTGTCTTTGCCACAGTTTAGTTTAGTGCTGAGTCCTATCTGCAGAAGGGTAGAGGAGATGGAGGGACCGGATGTCACCCGGCAAACACACGTTCCCAGATGGGACCTCGGTCTCTGACCACTGGTCTGGACTGCATCAACCCTTCTCCGCAGCCTGGCCTTGGGCCCTCTGGCCAACCATTGCCCTTTGAGGGACCGGGCCAGGGCAGCTCCCTCTAGTCCTTATCACCGAGGAATTCAGGCAGACTTTGGACTTCCTCTCCCACTTACTTACTTCCCTAAACATCCTCATTATCCCTCTGGGCTCCAGGCACACAGAGAGAGTCAGAAAACTCCCTGGCAGAATATAGCCAGGTCTCCTGATGCCGGGGAAGTGTTCCAGGGTGGGAAACAGCTAGAGTCTGGGATTCCTGCAGAATGGGTATGCTGAACTCATTCTGTAGACGCACGTCACGGAGGATATGTGAATTACAAGTGGGGTAAGAGCACCCCAGCAACAGAGCAGTGTGCACACAAGCATGGAGGCATGAAGATGCCTAATACGTGCCAGGTTGCGAGAAGCCTGGTGTCGCTGCAGCGAGGAGCTCCGGGGGCATCAGGAGACACGTTGGGAGATGCAGCCTGGGGCAGGACTGGGAAGGACTCGGAATGCCAGTTTTCAAGTGTGAGCTTTCACTCTGAGGCCACGGGGGCCAACAGAGATTTGAAGCAGGAGGCTGAGGATGGGGGATACACATTTCACAAAGATCCCTCAGGTTGCAGGTGGGCTGAAAGCTACTGCACCAGTCCAGGCAGGAACTGATGAACCCAGGAGAGGGCATGGGGGGGGTTAGAGAGGAGGGGGGGCGGGCAGGTAGAATGAACACTTGATTAGTTCCCGTCTCCAACTAGGCCCAGGATTCTCCTGCCAACTCCCTGTCATTCACCTCCCATATCCAGCGAACACCATGGCGTGGGACAGGATGGAGGAGATGCTCTGGACTTCTTGGGTCTTGCCTGGGTTCCTTCTGGGCTTAGGAACTCCTGTCCTAAAGAAGGTGCTGAGAACCCAGCCTGGCCCAAAACTCTCCAGCCTCAGCTCAGCTGCAGCGGCAGGCTCCCTTTAAGCTTACTTTTTGGAGTTCAGTCCAGCACAGGATCCAGTGAGGGGCTGGAGAGAAAGCCCTGCTTTCCTCCCCGTGTGGGGTTACCTGAGGCCCGGAGCAAAGGCTGGGTGTGGTGGTGGGGGAGGGGTGAGGACGCTGAGCGCTGTGGCTGTTAGATGCGAGGGGCTGTGGAAGACAGCGTGGGCCCAGCTCAGGCTTATAGGCCGTGTTCAGTCCCCTCAAGGGAAGCCGAGACCGCGAATCAGAAGCCCCAGCCTCATCAGCTGGGGCAGGGGAGCCAAGCAGCACAGCAGGAAACGAGCGTCCCTCTGGGGAGCAGCTGCTCTCTGCGAGGAGCACAGAACAAGCAGGCTGGGTAAGGTGAGGCAGGAGAAAGAACTGTCTGCAAACTGCCAAGCCTGGGGAGCCTCCTTGGATGGTTTGTGCTTCTGCGGTTTGTAAAGAGGGCTTTTTAATTCCTTCCCTGCCTGTGACTGTCAGAGGAGGCAGAGGAATGGGGAGCAGAGGACAGGGGACTCAGGAGTGGTTCCGTCCGCCTTCTCCCCCATTACTCCAGCCCTCTACAGAGACCATCTCACACCTCACGACTTATGTGCTCTCCCGGAAGCCCCCCGCTGAAGTCACGGGGTGACAAAGAGACAGGGGGAATGGAGGAGCCAGAGAGAAAACAGTGATTACGGGCACACAGGACAGCAGCCCAGCGACTCGTCCTTGCTGGCTTTTGCAGGTGGGTAGGTGAGGATGCGCAGATCTCGTAATTGGGAGGCAGTGGGGAGAGAGGAGAGAAAAGGCGGGAGGAGGGAAGGGCAGGGAGGGAGCGGGTAAAGGACATAGGAAGATAAGGGGGCTCACGCATCCAGGAGTCACAAAAGAGAGGAGGAACACGCTCCCAGCTTTGCAGAGAGCATGAAAGGAAGTCAGGACTCCAGCTCGCTGTGGAGGGCACGAGGGGCCTGCTAGGGTGGTGGGAGTGTGTGGTAGCTTGACTAGGGCGGTGGCGACACAGGTGTACACGTATGTGACAATTCACTGTGCTGTCGATTCAGGTTTGTACATTTTACTAATTTTAAAAGTATCTAAAGTCCCAGGGCGGCATGTGACATGCCATACCCCTCCATGGAAGCCATGGCCCCTCTTCATGAGGCGACAGATCCTAGTTCAGACCCAGGCTCCAGAATGAGATTGCCTGCCACTTCCTGGCTGGATGCCTCAGGCAGTTTGCTCAACCTCATCTATAAAATGGGGACAGGAACAGTAACACCTACTTCTAGAATTGAGGTTGAGGGTCACATGTAAGACACCAGCCAGGCACCAGGGCTGGCCAGCGGCTTAGCAGTGATTGCCAAAGCTGTCGTCCACCTTCGTGCCAGGCTGCCCCTGCTGTCCACACCCAAGCCTAGCCACAGCCGTGGTGCCTTGCGTAACCCCGGCAGGCTGAAGGTCCTACCTGCTCACAGGTGCCAGCCGCGCCCACCACAAGGCTCGAGTCTGTCAATTCCCTTCACCCCTGCTGATTTCTCTTCCTGGCATTTTTACACTGCTTCGCCAACAGCCCAAAGCCTCCCCACTGCAAATCCATTTTTTTTTTTTTTGCCAGTCATACCTCCTCTTGGGGAAGGCTGAGCTCTGGTAGAAGAGTAGACAGAGAACTGCTGCGTGAGTGCTGAGGGAGATGGGGGGTTCGGGGAGACACAGGGATACAGGACCGGGCTTGGGGTGAGAAGAACTTCCGGCCTCTCAGAGCGGTATCAGGACAAGGGCTCCCGTAACTAGCAGAACCCAAGCAGAGACGTTTAGCCTGTCCCATCTAAGGACACTTCTTGGGAGGTTTCCTTTGGGGCGGCTTCCTTTATTTGCAGAGGATCTCTGCGATGACAGCTAAAGAAGCAGGTGTAGCAGACACAGGCTAAGCATTTAGCTTAAACCCTCTGCTGCTTGATTGTGACCCTGGCCACACCTAGGGGATTGGAGTTTGCAGGACTCAGCTTATAAACAGTCCCTTGGGTGATGTTGGAGCCACCTGCAGAGGGCTGGGCTCCCGCAAAGGCAGCCACACGCTGAGTCCTTAGTACATGGAGGTTGCTTGGTGGCCTCTTCCCCCTCTTCTGGTGACCTGCTGTGCAGGAAGAACTTGTTCTGAAGTTAGGTAGTAGGAGGTACTTCCTGAGAGATATGGGCCACAGGAGAGGGGCTGCACGGAAAGGCTGGGTCCTGCCCAGGGGAGCCCAGCCCGAGGCACCCTGCCTTCTCCCCACCAGCTCGCAGGACGGTCCCGCCAGACACAGACGCGAAACTCCGCGAGAAGACCGGGCCCTGGGTAGGGTCACCGCCCGTCCTGTGGTGCTGCCTCACCTTCCGGCTGGGGATATTTGAATATTAAGCAATTCCTGTCAATTTTGTTAGGGGTAATGACAATCTCATAGTTATATAAAAGAATGTCCTTTGGTTTTAGATACGCATTCTGAAATTATTTGGGGTAAAAGGTCAGGAGGTCTATAACTTAAAATACTTCAGCCAAAAAGCAAATGAAGCATATATTAATTGTTAGATGCTAACAGCTGTCAAACCTAGGAACTGGGTGTTCAGACGTTCATTGTAATATTCTCTCTGCTTATTCACAATAAAAGTAAAAATTTAAAACACTATACACATGGTGGAGAGAGTAAACTGTTTTTTTCTTCTTCAGAAATAGTTTTTTTTTTTTCTTGAGACGGAATCTCGCTCTGTTGCCAAGCTGGGAGTGCAGTGGTGTGATCTTGGTTTACTGCAACCTCCGCCTCCTGGGTTCAAGCGATTCTCCTGCCTCAGCCTCCAGAGTAGCTGGGACTAGCCTCGTGCTGGGCATTGCCCTGAGCAGCTCTGCTTCTGGATGAGGAGTCCCTGTGCCTGCTGTCCGGGGGACAGGGGCAGGGGCAGTGGGAGCTTGACAGGTGGCCTTGGGGCAGACTTCCTCCTCTGAGACACTGGAGGTTTTCTTTCCTTTTTTTTTTTTTTTCTTGCCTCTCTGTTCAGAGACTTCCCCTTCCCAGGCTGAAGTCAGGGCACCATAAACAGGAGTGATAAGGCTTTGGGCTTCAACCTGAACTTTGCAGCTGCCATTTTATGGCTCTGATAACTCCTGGTACCCTCCCTCCTCCGGCACACCGAGTCCAGCTAGAGCAAGATTGCCTGGTGTCCATTCCATGAGGGAGCGACTGGCAGCTGGTGGGGAGGAGGGAGAAGCAGGGAGGGAAATGGGGACCCCTCACTCCAGCCTGCCCTCACCCAGTCCTGGCTGAGTTCCTTCGCCTCTCTCTGTGGGCCCAGCCCCTGCACTGGGCTGTAATGAACATGTGGGTGTAAGAGACCCCAGCCCCTGACCTCCTAGGACGGTCAGAATAGCCCAGCCTGGGAGGTAGGGTAGGGCTGAAGGGTGGGGTTAGAGGGGAAGGGTTGAGTTGGCTGGAGCAATCAGGGAAGGCTTTCTGGAGGAGATAGAGTTGGGCACTAAAGGAGTAAGCTGTGGAAAGACAGGGGGAGGAGCCAGAATTGGGCTGTCTCAGGAAGTACGAAGCAGAAGTGGCCTGGTGTGAAAGGAGGCATCTCTGAATCCACTCTGCCCCGGGGCTCAGAGCCTCCCGGGATGGAGGAATGGGGTGTCAGCAGGGTTGAGAGGGCACAGCTGCTGGTGGGGCCTGGAGGCGTCATGCGAGCTGTGCCAGAGCTGAGGCCCCGGGGACAGAGCTTGGTAAGGCTGTGAGTGCTCAGGAGGTGGGTCTCATGGCTGTCATGGCGGGGTGAGGGTCTGCTCCTAGGACAGGCAATGAGCCTCCCTCCCCAGGGTGCTCAAGACATCCGCTAGATGGAAACACATATCCCTGCTCTGGTGGGGGTGTTAGTAAGGGAAGTGACCATGGGCTAGAATGAACTAGAATCGATTCTTCACCCTCTCCCAGCCAACTTGGAGTGGGCATTCAAGGCCCTGCCTAGGCAGCAAGTCTAGAATACTCATGGTCTAGGGTGGGGAGAAAACTAGCCTCTGTCTAGGTCTGACTGGTGGGAGACAGATGTGGCTCTTGTGTCTCTGGACCTCGCTTTGCCCATCTGTAAAATGGGCTTCTGTGGACTCAATGAGTGCTGAGGTCCTCCCTGTTCTAGAGTGAGATGACCCATGCATCTATTGCCTCAATCAGCATCTGCCTCATGGCCTAGGTAAGCCATCCAAAGACACACACAGCACACCCACACATGGGGCACATGGGTACACACGTATCAGAGGCATACACGTACCCATGTTGAGAGGAGGCAGAGGTGGGAGGAAGGGGGCAGTGGCTCCTGCTCAGCTCTCTCCACACACAGGCCTGGCTCCTCCTCTCGCACACCACCCCAGCCCCTCACGGCCCACCCGCTTCCACCTTGGGCTCTGGTACCTTTTTGCTCTGCTCGGTGGGAGGGCACAGGGAGAGGTGTGCCTGTCACTCATCTGATCCCAAGAACCCCTTCTCAGGTCCTGGGGCCCCCAGCACTGGTTCTGCTGCCAACACCCCACAGACACCTCCAGACGGGCACTGCACGCAAGGATGACCCTCACACCCTCCCTTGCACCCGGGGTGTACCAGACCTTCTATCTCAATCGGCCACAGTACCTGACCCTGCAGCCACGCGCCGCCCACCCCACTGCACATCTGCAGCCACTACAGGGAAGCCAAGTCTGGGGTCCGCTCTTC